GATGATGATGATGATGATGATGATGATGACGAGGATGATGACGATGACGATGACGAGGGTGATGATGACGAGGATGATGATGGGTAGACTCTGAGGAATCGACGTGACCGACGTCTCTTGGCTCGAGGGCGTGAACGGTGGGCGCCAAGTTGCGGCCAGGGGTCGTTGCATAGGCCGCTGAGCCTGGCTGAGTTTCTCGTTTTCTTTGTTTTTTTGCGACTTGAGACAGCTCTGAACGTTGCCTTCGTGCTTGGGGTTGAACAGTCGACAGACTTTTAAGATGTTGCACTGTTGCACCTCGTGGCAGACTTTGTGCATTGCAGGCTTATTCTTTGACGAGCACCCTCCAGCCAGAGCCATGTCGGACGAGTCTGAGTTAAGAGCTCAGATTGGAAAGTTTCCACGGAGTCAGTACAAACTCAAGGAAACATGACACCAATTTGAAGGAGTGAATCATGTAGGCAGTTCATGTACAGTCGGTCAGTAATGGCATTGTATCAGTGTGACAATGGCAGCTGAGGAACGAAGAGATCAGCGATCTGTCCAACCCTGACGTACACCCCTCAGACCAATTTGTTCGGACCTTCGCAAAGACACATCTCGTGACTCCAGGTGACCACCAAATATCGTGCTGCCGGAGACATCGTAAACAAGGCGCTGTATCAGTCTCGAGACTTGCTCAAAGATGTTGTAGCAGTTGTCCACGACTGATGAGTTTTTCGCAATACGACACCATCTCAAATGGTTCGAGTCGTGTTTTTGTCGGGCTCAAGTCTTCAGGCACTGCAAAAAGTCGTCGAAGCTTGTGTGCCCGATGCCGACATTGCGCTCGCTGACATGTGTTCCTGTGGGTTGACCATGGTAGATCAAGGGGTTCCACACGGATCAGCTATGTTTCAAGTTGTTTCAATGTGCCAGGTGATGCTGTGCGAGATGGGGGACAAGACCATGGAAGAAGAGCAGCGCACTTAAGAGATGTCAGATCATGTCAGTCGCACAATCCTGATGAGGATTTACCATTCATGTTTCTTTGTTGATGATGCGATTCCAATGCCCAACCAGGCAATGCGGTTGGAACAGTGTTTTTTTCCAAACACTCTCCCAGATGCTTTTGTGACTGCTTTTCCGAATGCTTGTAACTGCTTGGAGGGTCCAGTTGCGCAGTTTGCTGCCAGCAGATCTTTGTTGCCAAACTGATACAGGGGAACGTAGGGGAAGGAGCCTTCAACCACACGATGAAAGAAACGAATAGGGACCCTGTGCATTGCGTGTCAGACCTGACTCGATCGTTTGCCCCAGCTGGTGGTGTGAGATCTGACGTCTGGCAAACGCTCGTTGATTCTCTAAGGACTGGAAAGCTTTACAACAAAAAAGACAAAGAAGGAAAGAAGATGGAGAAGGCCAATGCAATTTTGACAGTCTTTTGAATGGCAGTTGGACAAGACATAAGTTGTTCAGCTTATATATTCATTCAGGTAGGGGTTTGGATAGGTCCATTTTGGGGTCGCACACTGTTTCAGTTCGTTCAAGTAAGGTATATAACGCAAACAAAGCAATAATATTCTTTCTTTTTCGAAGACCACCCGGCCAGGGCGTGGCCTTCCCCACCTGCGTTTCTGTGAACGAGATTGTTGGCCACTTCTCTCCTCTCCCTGCGCTCGTCTCAGAGTCTTTGATGTAGCCGAGCTGTGAGTTTTGCATGATTCATGCAAAGGTCATTGTCTTTAGGGCTTGGTTTGTAACAGTGACATGATAAAGGCCTTGCGCGAATGATCCTGTGTATGACTTGTTTTGCTAAACTTCTTTCGGAGATGTGCCCTTTTTCAGTCCTCGTTTGTCAGGGCGAGTCCAGGCAGGGTCATCGGGCGAGATGTTTGCACAGCATTTTTTGATGCTTTCGGCCATTCGGCCAGGCCGCTGAAAGCGGGCGACATTGCCAAAATAGACTTGGCTTGCCACATTGACGGTGCGACCCGATGATGAGGTGACCCGATTGACGGTTCGACCTCATGTTTGCACCGATTCCAGGCTTCATTGCATCAGCAGCTCACACTATCATCGTGGGTGGCGAGAAAGCCTTGGACTCGGCAGATTCTGTAGGTTGTTGCATGGATCAATGGCGGTGTACCAAGTAGCAAATAAGCAGGATGCATTCACCGCTAAGGTAACTGATAGAAAAGCAGACGTCGTCATGGCTGCTTGGAATGCAGCAGAGGCGCTCGAGAGCACCGATTACATGTGGCTCCGCTTTGTCAGTACAGTGATGTATGTCAACTCAAGAAACACAAGATTTACGAGCTGATGGCGCGAGGCGGCTCTACGGTTGGTTCAAGTTGGCCATAAGAACTCCCAGGTTTGGTTCCACACAGTCGTGTTTTGTCAATTGTAGAACTATAGAAGCTTCAAAGACATACTAGAAAGCTTTATTGTTACTACTCGTACAGGTGAAACGATTCCCAGTGAAACGATTTCCAAGGAAACTTCTAGTTACTAGAAAGCACTTTAAACTTTAATCTACGTGTGCCTAGTACTGGATGCTTAAGATTGCTGTCGGGGTCTCTGAGTGTGAATATTGTTGCTTTGCGACTTGCCCAAGTGGATGCTTGCAGCCGAACCACCGTGGTGCATCCAGGTTACTGAAGCTTTTGCAAAGATCGCAGAAGACTTCAAGGTAAAGCCGATGCAAGGTGCCAGCAGCTCCCGTTTATGTGGCTATCAGAACCGTTTGTGTGCATACCCGTGCGCGTTTGGATAAAGTCGAGCCAAATCAGCATTTTAAAGTAGCAAATTTTCCTGATCCACCATTAGGGTCGCACTTGGGTTTCTTACAGGTGTTCTTTCCCACCAGCTGAAGAAGCACGTCATTGATGGTAACCGCACCATCATTTGTGCTGAGACGCCTGAAGAGAAGGTGGGAAAAATGTGGTTGCTGAATGACAACAGATACTTCTAATTCTATTGAATTCTTGTTTCTATTAGCGAACATTGCTCCTAGTAGTAAGGCCAGGAGCCCCTAGTAGCGTCCTTGCTACTAGTAGCGATGCCCTTTGCTCCTAGTAGCGAACATTGCTCCAACCAAAAGATGCACCGACCATGTTGGTGATGTCAGACGTGCGACAGTTGAAGGCTTGCATCTACCCGGGATTGTTCGGAAACCCACGAAGAAAGCTGCCTCAGGTGGAAGAGTTTGAGTTCGAGCTGAACGAAGTCTACAGCATCGATATTGTAATGTCGACTGGCGAAGGCCAACAAAACAAGATAAATCAGTCAGACATTCTTTCACACAACCGTTCAGAGCAGTCAGACGACAGCGGAATCAAATATCAGGGTTCCATAATCTGAGTTCCTTTCCGCTCACAGAGACTTGTTCCTTGGGAAAGTTCAGGCCGGGGCAAAGAGACGGAGATCAGAAATACTATTTACAAAAGAGCAGCCTAAGCCTTAGTCTCCTTAGTTTGTGGTACTACTCAATAGATAATAGATCATGAGCCATGAGCCAAACGAGAATAATATTTTGTAGAGGATGGATGTGAGATGGCCTTTGTCGTGCCCAGGTGGAGAACATGTACAGCCTGAAAACTCAAAAAGCAAGACAGTTCATCTCTGAGGCCATCTAAGTTTGTCACAGATTTCATCCACAAGTTGCATGGGGCTCTCTTTCACTGTACCATACTGCACCCCTGTAGGAGCAAGGACGCTACTCCTGGCCATACTACTAGCAACAAGAAGCTACTAGTAACAAGGGCATCGCTACTAGGAGCAAGAACGCTGTTAGACCTGTGCCGCATCACGGCCCCGCGATCACGACCCTCGACTTTGTGTACGTGCATCTCCGTTGAGAGGTGCAGAAGCGGTTCCCCGTGTTGCCATTCACTCTGCGTGCCATTGAAGACGAGCAGGTGGGCTCTGGTGCATGATGAAGCAATCCCTGCCATGTCACCATGAGTTGCATGATGTTATAACCAGCGATGGCCTCCAACCTAATAAGTTATATATATATACAGTATATACATACGATATAGCGCTATACTACACTGTTTCTCTGTGTTTTTTGTTTTTTTGTTCTTTGTTTCTTTGCGAACTCATCGATCCTTTCAGGTGGCCAGAGTTGGTGTCTCGGAGGCCAGACGCCATGAGCTCTTAGATGAGTTCGATGCTGAGAAAAAGGACCACAAAAAACACATAATGAAGCTATCAACGGTGCGGTCAAGAAGGAATGGTGCGGGACACGCCCTGAGGTATCCGGTCTTGAAGGAGGCAAACAACGTGCCGGGTCCGAATGGGTGGAGGATCCGGAGGGTGGACCGCTGGACCAATCTTTTTTCTCGTGACGAGCCAGGGCAGCCCAGCTGTGAAGATTCGCTTCAACTCAAACACTGCACTAAGGAGTTTGTAGCCCAATTCAAGTTCACACTGCCTGAGACTGAGATCCTTGAACTCGACTATTGAAGATCTTGCGGTGCTAGACCGAACCAGACTCCAAGGCTGCTTCTTCCTGGTGGCACCAAGAAGATCACGGGCTTGCCTTTGGGATCCTTGCAGGAGCAGGCCCAAAGCTCTCCAATGTTTTTTGCAGTCCTTTCCAAGTCCGGAGAGATCTGGAGGTCTTGGAATGCCTCCACATGGCTTAGAGGACAATAACAGTCGGGAAAAGTGCTGACCTGCAAGGCCGCCTCGAGCTTGTCAGTCGTCGACGAAGAAATGAAGAAGCTACTCGCGACATCAGCTCCGGTCTCAGATGAGGGATGAACCAATTTGATGAAGCGCCCGGCGAAGCCCTTTGCTTTGCTTTGATCGCCAAGGCAAACCCGAAGAAGGCCAAGAAGAAGAAGGACAAAGGCTATCCGGGCGAAGGGGAAGGAGCAGCTGCTGAGTAGGCCACCACACAGATTCTGAATACCAATGAGCACTTATCTCACTCACGACACCACAATCCCTTCGTGCAAGAATCTTCCAAAGATGTGTCAGGGTACTGTCATAGGTTTCATGTTAAGCAATATTGCTTCTTGTGGGTAGGGATCACGGATACTCTTGAATTGCCGGCAAACATGAGATTTGGGTGCACGAGATGTGCCAAAACTTGGAAGTCTGCAAGATATGCAGCCACAAACTTTGGTGTCCGAAAGGGTTCTAGCACTTTGAACTCCGCACTCACCATACAGCAATCTCGAACGAGATGCACAAGTACATGTAAATGGCCGCTACATAATAGGTTGTCGTGCCAAAGTGTGCTTCTTTGATGGACGAGTTTCACAGCTTAACTTAAAGCAGCGGTTGTAGATCCACAATGGATAGCACAGCTAGAGTAGGACAGCAATCGCTTCTAAAGAATCTGTGTGTGATTTTGAAGGAACTACCCAGGAAGTTTTGCCATGTGCAGCCAAAAGCGCAGCCTGACATGTGCGAGCGTAGCCAACGGTACAAGGAACGCCATAAGAAGCTGTACTGGGAGAATCAGAAGACGTAGAATTCCCCAGGCGGCAGGCGTGCTTGGTACTCGTAACTATCAGCCGCAAGGATGTTCTGCATCCTAGTAGGCCTTTTGAGCGGACTCTCTTGAGATGAGGATGATATCCTCCTCCGGCAGAATAGTTACATCCAGAGAGGATGTAGCAAGTAGGAGGCGTTGGCCGAAGTAAGTCATGGAAGGCTCAGAATTTTCTTGGCAGTCTTGACTATTCTTTCTGAATTTCTATCTCAACGCGTCCTTCCGTCTGTGGAACTTGAGCCAAGCGACAAAAGGATTGTGAGTTGATGGGTGGTAGCATGAGTGGGGTGAGTGAGAGAGACAGAGAGAGAGCGAGCGCGTGTTGGATGTGGCACAATGTGTCAGGAAGTCCCGTGTGAATCAGGCTTCAGCAAGCTGATCATGAGCAGAACTTATTTGCCACAGTACCCTTTGACTCAGCAGTGTTGGATTGTCTGTCGAATAGACAAGCCCCTTGCCTTGACTGCCACAACATTAAAACCTATAGTCTACTTCAGAGACTGAAGGGTCACACGTGTGGCACTAGCTTCCAGCGTTTGGGTTCATCATGGGCGACAAGGATGAGAAGTGGAATCCTCAGAGGATGGATGCAGGACATCTTGCATGAAGCATCTCTTAGTAAATTGCTTTGCTATTGGAGGGTCTTGTACAGTTCGCCAGTCAGGTTGGCTCGGCTCCTGGACACAATTGGCGCAGGAGCTGACCCCGACTTTGCCCGTGAGGTGGGCTTTCTGTTTCACAGGACACTTGTTACTAGAAGCGATGCACTTGTTCCTAGTAGCGTTCTTGTTACTACTAGTAAGGCACTTGTTACTAGAAGCGATTCTAATTTAATTAACACTAAATAGGCCCGAAGTTCAAGAACTCGGACAGCTTGATCAGTGCATACTGCTATTTCTTTTTGTGACGTGCTGATTTTAACAGTTCGCTTGTTCAACAGGCTATGAAGAGTTTAGATATGTAATGACTTTTTCTTTTGGCCAAGAATGTCATTTATTGGCTTGTCTTCTCTTGTTATCGAACAATCATCTCACCCGTGGCCAGGTTTTAGTGGCCAACAACTGGGACCTTCATGCATCTGCAATTGTCATCCTTGGCGAAGGAGTCGGGCGGCCCATTTGAGTACCTGACGGCTTTGGGATGGTTTGGAGACTGTTTCGAGCTCGAGGCACAATTGGCACCGGCTCCCACTCGGGCACCTCCAGCTGCTTCTTCAACAGCCATGACTGGAATGCCTGAAGGTGGTATGCCCTCAGGTACAGACAGAGCTGGACTGTGTAAGGGAAGTTGAGGTAGACTGGTAGACAAGTTCCAAAATGTTGGCATAATTTTTTGGGCTTTTCGTAGGGCGCACCATTGATGAACCTGGAGGTCTGGGACGGATGCCATCCGCTGATGTCCGAGCACCTATGCGCACTGGCTTTTATGCAGGGATCCTAGGTATGTCGAGTTTACTGTTGGACCAAGCATGGAAACAGGAAATCATGAGTTCAAAAAACCACTTACACTTGACTTTTGGTCCTGAGGGTGCTCTTCCATCTTTTGTGATTTAGTGAGCTCTTTTGAGCTGCCGGCCCGCCCTAAAAAAAGGGAAGAGGGAAAACCGCAGAGGAAACCAAAGCCTGGGCCAAATTCTGAACAAAATCTCTTCAAATTGGTTTTCATGAAAAAGCAGGCGAGTCAGCAGGCGAGTCAGCTTTCATGTATCGCTTGATCGAAGTGATTGAACGCACCAAGGAGACGCTGCTCACCACCGACCCCTCGGAGCAGGCCCGACAAGATCGAGCGCGTGAAGAGGAACGCCTTCGTTTGGAGGCGAGAGTTCCGAGGAGCCGATGAAATCAAAACCTTGAACCTATCATATCAATACATATATCAACATATCATATCAACTATATGTGTTCACTATATGTGTTAGTTTGAAGAATGGGAAATTCTTTCAAAGTCCTGACCTGAGTAGGCCGAACGGGTTGCAGCTGAAGAGAGAAAGAAAAGAGAGGCTGAAGAAGCCCGCAACAAGGCTGGTGTGTGTTTGTGTGTGGACTTGTTTGCTGTTATATTCAGGTGTGTTATCCTTTTTCTTCTGCAGACTTGCCCTGTTGGCAGGACCTAGCACGGAGGGCTGAAGAGCAGCGTGCTGCAGCGGAGCAGAAGGCACTCTAGATGTTGGCATTTTAATGCATTTTGCAGTCCAGGGTGCAGTTCGTTGAAGCCCTTTTTGCCCGAAGGCAATCGAAAGGAAGAAGCAAAAGATGCTGGAAGAGAAGGTCACCAAAGCGTGTGATGCCTGTTGGTTTGCCGGCCAAAGTGTGCTGAACGCCAACAGCATCCGTGGCCTGCTGGCCTGCGCTTTGCCACTGGAGGCCGCAAGCAAGAGCAAAGCCGCCAGAGGACGTAGGACGCCTGAAGCCGCTCAATGGGAATGGGACGAAAATCGTCCCTGAGCGACATTTGCTCCGGCCTTGCACCAGGGATGATGACAGTGATTCAGACCTGGAAGACATCCCCATCGAGTCTGGCATCATGTGCCGCGTCTCAGTCAAAGTTGAGTGAAGTGGACATCAAGAAATTCCGTTTTGTCGTTTGCAAGCCTATGTCATACTATGCTGATCTCAGCTGACAGGGTAGGTGCAAGGGGAACTTGATGCACCCCTTCTTTGGAGAGCAGCTTGTCTTGGAGGTTTTTCTCTTTTGAGGCTGGCAGAGCTCTCAAATCAGCTGGCGGGCAAGGCTTGGTCGCTTGCACTCGCGCTTGAGTTTACCTGTGGCTCATGTTATGACCTTTTCCAATGATGTGCAACATCGTGCAACTGCTCATGTGTTAGATCAGGCGCCAACGGAGAAGCCCAGGACCGCCAGGGCATTATATTGAATTTGGGGAGCAGCAACCATGCCAATTTTGCTTGGTTATGGACAGCTCGCGTTCTATGCTGGCAATGCGCGCTGCTGTAAGCGTTACCCTTTGATTTTGTGTTCACTGTGCTCTTAGTGTGAGATTTGCTGCACACTTGGGTTGATAGACGACACTGCAGCCAGCAAGTAATATCAACCTAGGTATTGCTGCAAGTGTTGTTAGATTCATTGCGATTGGAGCTACATTCGCAAAGCCTACCAGTCGCCAGGGAAGAAGAGGTTCCTGTGCCAGCTCCGAGCCACTCTCAGACCTTCACTTCTTTCATTGGTAGATCTATCAGCTCATTGGTTCCTTTTAGGCCCCCAGAGCCCATCAAGGAGGAGACAAGTGAGCAGGCCTTGAAAGATGTTAAAGCCTTGGAACACAGTGGTTGCCTGTAAAATCGTGATGTTTTTTCTCAGTGAGGCTGTTGTGGAGACCCCTGCTCTCCCCCCTGCTCCGCTCATTGCTGAGTCTTTGTTTTGCAGTTGGTACAGATCAAGGCTTTTAAAAGCATCGCTGTCCGAAAATACAAATTCTGTTTCTAGAGGCAGGACACTCATTCTCCATTGTCCGTCTTGAAGGACGCAAGATGCCAGGAGCAAGGACGCTACTACGGGCTCCTGGCCTTACTACTAGGAACAAGAAGCTACTAGGGGCTCCTGGCCTGACTACTAGGAACAAGAAGCTACTAGGGGCTCCTGGCCTTACTACTACGAACAAGAAGCTACTAGGGGCTCCTGGCCTTAC